TACAGAGCTTGCAAGCAGCATTTGCCCAGGCTGCTCTCAAAAACCTACAAAAACCCAGATGCAGTGGCCCTTTCCTCGTGTAAGTAATCTTTTTTGGATAAATATACCTCAGTTCCATGTGGAAAACCCACACACACAGTAGGAGCTATGCCCAGCAGATGATTGCCACCTAAAGTGCAGTGACTGCAAATTACCATCTCTCCAGAGAGTAATACTTCATCCTGGTCTGACTTCAGACTGATTCAATATGTTTTTTTTTTTTTATGGTCTGCTTTTTCATTCACTAATTAGTAGCCTAAATAAAATAAAGGTTGAGATTTTTTGTGGGTTTTTTTCATGGGTTTGTAATGTCTTTTACCCATATTTCTTAACAACATCTTTCTCTAAACCTAAAAGGAATAATGTGACTGGCTGGCCTTTCCTATTTCTGGATTTGATTTATGCTGCAGTCTGTGAAGGAATGACTTACAGAGCCTTTCCACTGGCTGCACAGGCTTGTGCAGAATCTGTGTTGAAATCCAGGGCATGCACAGAAAGGCCTGCCCAGTGCAGTGTGGGATGACCCAGTCCTCTTCCACATTCCCTCTTGGAATTTATTATGCAGAAAACGTGCTTCTCCTCCACAAGCCCCTATATTAAATGTGTCACAAGCTTAAATCCCTTGCAGTTTGCTTTCTGAGCTTCAGGCAGGGTGATCTGTCTGTGTTACTTCAAAGTCTTCATTTCTTTTAGTGAAAATCACTGCTCTGTGGAGAGCACAGGGTTGGGTGGGCAATGCTCAGAGGTGCCTGCTTGCCAGCCACCCAGGTGCATTCCACCCCAGCTCTGGTGACACAGGGAGATGGGAATGTGTCTTTCTGCACAAATCAGCATCTTCCTCAGGCTCCAGCCACTTAGGGCATTTCCTTCTTAGTTCAAACAGAGAACACAGGGTGATTCATCATTCCTGCTAGCCAAGTTTACAAAAGAGTTTATTCATTTGCTGAGGCAGGGGCCAAGTTTTGATTAAAAACTATGAAATGTGGATATGTTTAAAAAATGTTTCAGCCTGGACACAGCCTCCTTTGCATGCAAATGATGGAGCTCACAGTCCTCAGAGCTGTCTATTCCAAATGCCCCCTGATAGATTTCAAAGGACAATATCAGAACATCTTTTATAAAAGCTACCTCATGTCCTGCAAACCCCTTGGATGCTTAGCAAGGACTGAAGTCTGTATCAGTACATCGCCTGATTTTTTCGAGCATCCCTGGAAATTTGGAAAATCTAATTAAAACATGGGCAATGCAATTTTAAATAAAAAGGGGAGAATATGTATATTTTTCCATCCCTGTAGTCAGACCCCTCAAATTCTGTATGGGTGCACTTGTACAGTTTAAAATAAGCCAGTCAGGCAACTACCAGTTTTTTCTGTTTGCAGAAGTTTAAATAGCTTTGTGAATGTGCAGCTGGGCACGGCTCAGAGCCCTGCCAGACCAGCCTCCACCAGACCATAATTATGTTGAATAGGAAAAGGAGCCATCAGGTCCCTCCCTGGAACGATCCTGGTGAATCCAGCTTTAGTGTGCCTGGCTCAGGGACAGCTGGAGGTCCTGCTCTGTATGACAGACCTTTTCCATCTGAACGCTGCGTGTTTATCTCACCTCTTGTCTAGATTATCTGCAGCAGAATTTAAGGCATAAATCCCATCTTTTCACTTCTCTCTGTTGCACTTCAGTGTCCCCAAGGGGTGCAGCCTTGAATAACACTGAGTTATTCATGACTGCCTGCAGCCTCCCTGTCTGCTCAGCTCAGCTGCACGAGCACAGGGGAGGCTCAGGGCCTCACAGGACTGACTTCCCAAAACAGTCTGTCAGCATAAAGCCTTTTGCCCATTCCAGGAGAATCCTGGCACGAGTCAGACTGCTCAGGAAACCTGCAGAGCAGGAGTTTGTTTGCAGCCAGGGTCTCTGAGTTTTGTCAGAGGACAAAGCATGGTATAGTTGATACCTCTGTGTTTCACACACTGGGTTTGTTTAGCCTGTGCAGGCAGCCCCACGCAGAGACACCTGAGCTGGCCTGAGCTGGCCTGAGCTGGCTGCTGGACAAAGTTACCTGCAATCAGGACAGCAGATGCCCAGTGGGGAGCAGTGGGAGCATGTAGAGCAGTGGGCTGTGTGGGCTGAGGAAATGCAAGTTACCTGATGTAGCTTTTTGTGGCTGCTGTGCATGGTGTGTTATTCCAAAAGGAAGATGTACTCAGGTCTGTTCATCATGAGGTGTGTGTCTGGCCACGTTGCCTTTTTCCAGTGTTTGCATCTTAGTCCCACCTTCTTGTGATGGGGACATTTCTCTAATGCTCCAAGGGTTTGATTCAGGATGGCTTCCTGACAAATGCTCAGGAATTTTGGTGTTTGGAAATGCTCTGTGATTTTGCTTTCAGGTACCTGACAGTGCCAAGACCTCAGGTACATCTGACACAGGAGGTTTGTCCCAGTCCATATACCCTTCCCTCACCTCAGAAGCCCTTGGGCTTCTGCCCATCATCAGCAATACAGTTTGTATTTCCTTTAGTACACCAAATCCTCAGCTTGTGAGATCCACCTATACACAGGAAGACTAATATAATAATTAGATGATACTTCAGCAGACAGCACCTCCACAGCATGGCACAATCTTTTATCTACAGCTGATGTAAAGACATTCCTCAGACTTTTGGCTGGGCCTTTGAACAGCAGACATTGGATGTTGGCATGCCTTGACTTTTGGCTTCCATCCTTGCTTTTCTAGGATCTGGTGTGATTATTTTTTCATTCATGAAAAAAAAAGGAAGCGCAACAGACACAGCTAATTTTAGAATTCATTCCTGTGCAAGGCCTTTTTACACATGTAAGTTTTAGCTTCAGTTTCAGGGAGAAACCTGAGCTATGCTGAGGTCAGAAAGAATTGTTATCCAGACATATTCCTGCCTCCTCTGTTCTGACTCACTGCATTGTTTTATGGGAAATCCTATACGGCATAACATAAGTGCTCCTCAGTTAATTTTAATATTTCCTCTGCCTAGGTCTTGACCAAACCCTTGTAATATGAGAGACAAGGGGGCATCCAAAAATACTTGTGTGCACTTTCCGGAAACAAGCTCTCTGCAAAGAGATTTTTACTTTAAAGGAATGTAAGGGCTTCAAACACCCACAGGATGCTTGATTCTCCTGGTCTTAAAGCAGATCTCTGTGTCATAGCTCTCCAGGTTATGGGAAATCCTATACGGCATAACATAAGTGCTCCTCAGTTAATTTTAATATTTCCTCTGCCTAGGTCTTGACCAAACCCTTGTAATATGAGAGACAAGGGGGCATCCAAAAATACTTGTGTGCACTTTCCGGAAACAAGCTCTCTGCAAAGAGATTTTTACTTTAAAGGAATGTAAGGGCTTCAAACACCCACAGGATGCTTGATTCTCCTGGTCTTAAAGCAGATCTCCGTGTCATAGCTCTCCAGGTTCAATTGTTCCTCTCACATATTCTCACTCCTCTCTCTGTCTGCAGTTGTGCAGGAGTTTTTTTTCCCTTTTTAAATACATTAATACAGCTACTGTTGCCAATGGGCTCAGCATGGTCCAGCAGCAATGGACAATTGGATCCATCGGGTATGGGGGGAAGCTTCCAGCAGCTTCTCACAGATGCCACATCTGTAACCCCCACTACCAAAATGTTGCCACACAAACCCAGCACACCTCTACAAACACGTTTTAAATTCTTTCTACTAAAAGAGAAGAAAAAAAATCTATTTCTCCCTAACAAAAGAGCAAGAAGTCTATAGTAAAAATAGGTTAAAAAAAGAAGCACCAGAACTGAGTAAGGAATCTGGCTCTGACTCACATCATTGGGTCTAAAGACTAATGGTGTTTTTACAGTCCCTAAAATGTACTAATATCTTTAATGCCATCACAGACTCACAGCTTGCTTCTCTCATGGATAATGATGCAATCATTTCTAAATTCACCCAATAAATGTTAATGCACAGAGTGTATGTATGTGCAACATATGGAACTGTTCTGGTGACAGGACAGCTGGACCCTTTTATTATGGTTTATGATATCAGCAGTTGTTGAAAGCCTTAGTGAAATTGCCCCTTTATGTTAGATATTTATTTACCTATTTTCTATTTTTCTTATGGATTGTGCTTCGGTGAGTCATCTCCCAAAACCTTGTTTTTGCAGTTGTAGTTCACTACATCTCTCTTTAGAAAATGGACTTGTGATGGAGTGAATGTGGAAAGCGAGAGTTACCTTGTTCATGCTGTTTTGCTTGGTCTGATTAGGTTCCTGGTTCTATTTAATATTTGAAAGATGTTATTTTTGGTAGAGGTGACTGTTAGGATGATTGGCAATGATGATGGTCACTCAGAATTAGTGTGAATACTGGTTTCTGAAGCAAGCACAGTAAATGAGGCGTTCTGGTGAGCTGGGGAATGATTTTCTCTCAGTTTCAGCTCCAGCGGTGCGTGTGTCGGGTCCGTCCCCGCCCGAAGCGGTGCCGCGGTCCCGGGATACCCAGTGGGGCAGCGGCTGCTGCTGCCCTCGGCGGAGCCCAGCCAGGTGAACCCATCACCGTGCTCATACGGCCGTGCCACGTTCCGGCACTGAGGCTGTTTTCCTTCATTCCCATCTTTTTCCTTCTGCCCCGCGCCCGCCACCTGCCTGCGGCTCACCCGGGGCCGCTGCGCGCTGGCTCGGCGGTACTGCGAGTACCGGACTGCCGCCGGCCTGCAGGGAGCCCGTCCAGAGCCAAGCGGGCTGCTCCAGGGATGGAGCAGGGGCTACAAGGGTGTCTGAGGTCCCTCTGGATCCGCTCTTCACCGCGGAACAGCCGCTGCGACACCTCGGCACAGCCCGGGCAGTGGGGAGACGGTCTGAGCGCCGCTACTCGCGCCATTACGGCAGGGGGCGGGGCGGGGGCGGGGCTTAGAGCGTGGGGGGTGGCTCGAGGGGGCGGGGCCGGCGGGAGGTGGGGCTGGAAGGGCCGGGGCGCTTCTAGAACGGGCGGCGGGAGCGGCGGCTGCAGGGTGAGCGGGGCTGGGGGTACGGCCGGAACCCCTGCTGAGGGCGGGGGCACAGGTATCGATGGAGCCCGCGCTGAGGCGAGCAGAGCAGAGCAGGGCTGAGGGCACCGGTACGGCCGGAGCCCGCGCTGAGGGTGGGGGCACAAGTACAGCCGGAGCCCGCGCTGAGGGGAGCAGGGCTGAGGGCACGGGTACAGCCGGAGCCCGCGCTCAGGCGAGAGGGGCAGGGCTGAGGGCACCGGTACGGCCGGAGCCCGCGCTGAGGATGGGGGCACAAGTACAGCCGGAGCCCGCGCTGAGGCGAGCAGGGCTGAGGGCACGGGTACGGCCGGAGCCCGCGCTGAGGCGAGCGGGGCTGAGGGCACGGGTACGGCCGGAGCCCGCGCTGAGGCGAGCGGGGCTGAGGGCACGGGTACGGCCGGAGCCCGCGCTGAGGGGAGCAAAGCAGGGCAGGGCTGAGGGCACAGGTACGGCCGGAGCCCGCGCTGAGGTGAGCGGGGCAGGGCTGAGGGCACGGGTACGGCCGGAGCCCGCGCTGAGGGGAGCAGGGCAGGGCTGAGGCACAGGTACGGCCGGAGCCCGCAGCGCTCCGTGCCCGCCGCCGCAGCCCCCCGGGACTCGCGGGGGTCCCGCTGCCCGGAGCCCTGAGCGCTGCCCGGCGCGGTCCGAGCGCTTTGCAGGCGTTCAGTCCTGGCGCCCCGCGGTTGAATCCTCGTCCGCAATCCTCGCTCCGCTGCTGGGGTCGGCTGGTCCCCGCGGGCCGGGCTCTGGGCGATATCGCAAAACATCGTGCGTGTTAGAGGTGTCATCGCAAAAGCGGTGGGAGGGCTTGTTGCCCTTCTGCGCGCTGTTTGGGTTTGATAGGACTGGCATTCCCGGTTAAATGACTGCCAGCTGACTTTGCCAGCTGCATTAACTGGCTGTGCGTGTTCCCTGCCTGCCCCCGGCTCAGCGCAGAGCAAGCGATGGCTTAAGCTTCGGAGAGATGTTCAAACCCCACTTGTTCTGCTCGCGTCTCATTTTGTTTTATTCTGAGCTTTGTTTGCCAAAAAAAGAAAAAGCCTGTCCCTGCATAGTTGTGCAGCTGAGCTGGGGACAAGCCAGGAGAGCACAGGCAGCTGTGTGTGACCTGTGCGATGCAGCGACCGAATCCTCAGTGGAAAAGGCAGGGGAGAGCAGCTGGTGAAAACTGAAGGCACTGCCGAAGTGTTACCACAGCTCAGCTGGGTCACAGCAGCTTGGCTCGTCATACGATGGCAAAACATGCCTTTGACTAGACAGGAGTAATTTTTATTTCAGGAAGCAAAGAATGTCCTTGTAACCTGGAAGCAAGCAGGAGAGAGGATATGTAAATAAAAGCTATTTTTGGGACTGTCTGACTTTGTGATGTTTGGTGTTTCCAGCCAATAATCATCCCTCTTCTTCAGTAGTAAAGTAGTGTTCCCCAGAAGACATTTTTGTCAAAAAACCTCTTGCTCTTTAGTTTTATAGGTGCTCCGTGAGGGTGGAGTGGACCTGGAAGGCTGCTGTGGCCATCTTTACCAGGGTAATATTTCATTTTTCTGGCATTAAGGACTTGGAAATATTCCCACAGGTATGTTGTGAATATATATAGCAATCAATAACTGGCATTCACATTTCACAAGCAGAACATTATTCTGCATTGGTAACTTAGCACTGCTGTGACACTCACAGACAAGAATATGGCCTCTTGTTAGTGCCATAATTTCTTGGGATTCAATTTTTTAATGTGACTAATCATACTTTGGGAAGCAGTGCAGGAATTACACACTTCAAAGAGAGTAACAGCAGAGGGAGCAGGGTTTACCAGTTAGCATAAGAAATTTTTCACTAGAGGTTTAAGTCAGGAATCCAATCTGTTTATAATTTCCATGCTGTGTGCATTGGCCAACTTCCAAAGAAACAAGCTGTAAACATAGATATTTTTCCTATGACTAGTTCTGATTTTTGTGCATGGTTTTCTATATGTCAGAGATATGAGAACACAGAGTGTGGAAAGGGGCATGTTCTAGGGTGATGTTAGAATAGAATCAGCCTCTGAGATAATGCCTGATTTTAATTAAATTGAATTGAAAGAAGCAGTTCACTGACAGCAGACCTCTTAATATGAAAAGAACTCCTTTATTTCTGAACAGGAGGATGCTTTTAATGCTTTATATGAGCAATTGATAAGTTATTTCAAGTTATGTGAAGTATGATGATATACTGAAGTTGTGGCCTTTGCACAATAAAATGCAGTCTAGATATGCTAAAAAAATAAGCTGTAGTGGAAAAAGCCCAGAGTCTTTTTGTCTTCACCAACACTGTGGGATTTGACTCCAAGGCTGCTTTATAAAGGCAGAGCTTGCAGAGTAAGGCACAGCAAATCCACTTGAATCTTAGATTTGCATCAGTTTTGTTCTCTACTGGAGTGTGGAAGAAACGTTTTGCTATGGCTTAAAAAAATTACTGGGGTTATTATCCCAGATGATTATGGCTTCTAAGGTGGTTATAATTTATTTTATGTTAAAAGAAATGCCAGCAGTTTTGCATGATTGTGCTGTGACCTTGTTAATGCTTGCAAATAAACAGCTTTTCCTCATTTTCTTTTGGCTTGCCTTGAGAAGCACAAGGCAATCACGTTGCTGTTTTTGCTAGGTAATTACAATTAGTTTTAGATGCATATTAAAATGCTTTGTAAAGAAGGGCGGGGATGTTGGCATGAGCTGCTTTGAGCAATAAAACCAATGTGCTCTGAGGAAGGGGCTGGGTTGAGCACTGGTGCATCTGAGTTCATGTGGATAATGAATTTCAGCTCTGAATTATTTGTTTCAAAGTCTTCAGCCAATAGTGTAGGTTTTCTTTCCTTAGTATTTAATAACTTAAAATGTTTTATAGCTGCTATCATGTGCAGTGCAAATCTGCAAGACTTGAAATACTGTTAAGTGGATGGTTTTATGGCTGCCTTTCTTGGTTGATATTGAGAGAGGCTCCTCCTTGGCATCATCTTGAAAATCTGTTTATAATTAAGCCTGTATTTTGGCTCTTATTAAGTCAGCAGCCTTGGACGTTTTTTGTTTATATCATTTTCCACTTAGTTATCATTAACCTTATTTACAGCCATCAGTACTGATAGCAGCTTAATGCCTGCTTGTGAAGCTCCATTGTTTGTGGAGGGGAAAGGGATGAAGCCATCTGCAGCACCAGCTCAGTACTCCTTGGTGTGTCTGCAAGCAAGAGGATAGGCTGGAAAACAGAGGCATTTGGAGGAGCCCCAAACAGACCTGTCTCATTCAATAGTCTAGTCTCAAATTGCTGTTTGAGGATGGACCAAACTTCAGAGCCTCAACTTTGTGTGCACCAAGAGCTCATCAGTGGCCTGAGGTCATCTTGAATTAGGGATTTGCTTGTTGGATTTCACCATGATGCTTAAATGTAGATACATATGGAAGCAGCTGCTTTCAGAGTGATTTCCCAGGTGTCTTTAACAGCACAGACAAGCACAGAAGAGGAGGGAGGCTGTAACCTTTACTTGTGTCATCAGCTTGTATGTTGTATTCCTGTAGCTCACAAAAATGGTATTTAATACAGCGCTGACAGTATCTGATACTTTGATACTTTGTCTCACAAGCTTTCTTCCTCTGCAGCAAATTCTGGGTCTGTAAACTTGGAACTAAACCAAGAGGGCCTTAATGACTCTGCCTTAATGACTTAGAAGAAACCATTGCTGTGTGCTCTGAAAAAATTTTCCCCGCCTAGTCTTTGGAAAAAGAGGTGACTTTGCTTGTAGCAGTTTGGAGCAGTTAGATTGCACCCCAGTTCCCCCCCTTCCCTAAAGAAGCCCCACAGCAGAGGGAGTGCTGTCACCTTTAATTGAGGGGTGGAAGGACACTAGTTTGGTTTTTTTTTCTGGAGTTCATGTGATCAAAAAGTGTTCACATATAAGTACAAGTAACACTCTGGTCTAATTTACCACAATAAAGGTTATGACTTGTATTCTTTATGTTGTACAGACTGGTCTTATGTTGGTTCCACTTAATTTTCCTGCATGAGGAGTCAAGTCTGTGCAAATTTGGAGCTGGATGAAGGACTTGCTTTTTTTGTCGCTGTTTTTAGTTAGGCTGTCAGGCAAGTGGCGTTCTCTTCTACTGTGGTGAATAAAGGAGACCATAGCATATCAGTTTGATCAGAAGTTGAGTCCTAAAGGCACTGCATGTAATAGGTATTTGTTTCCTCTTCTGACCTGAAAAAAGTCCTCCCTTTTGACTAGGAGCTGGCCTATGTTCCCTGTGACTGGATATGAAATTCAGAGCAAATGAGAAACTGAGAACCATGGTAGATGTGCAAGCAACTTCTCTTTAATAGGTCAGGTTTCTATTTTTATATCTTCTTGATTATGAGGTTTTCAGAAAGCTTATTTAATAAAGAATTCAGTTTAACCTGTGGAGAAAAATTCCATCCTTGTGTATTTTGTCTAGAACTTTTTTCCTTGTGCCAGTGTTCTCTGAGCCTGACAGCACTCTTTCCACAGGAGTAATGATTCACTGAGGTCTTATACTGTAAAGAAATAAGAAAACCCACAAAACAAAAGCCAGAAATACAGGCAGTATTTGTTCTACAGAGGCTTGTTGTTTGGCATTTCTGTTTGAATAAACACACTGCTTTACAAACATTTGTCTTCATTATTGAGGCATGAGCTGCTTATGCCACTTCTGCCCCTCTTGCCCTCCTTTCAGCTGGAGTGGGGTGGGCACACGTACGTGTTGCTGTGCACACACACTCCTGCCAGCCAAGACTGTGGTTATTCAGCCTCCTGTAACTCATTATTTGTGCTGGTTTTCCCAGTAACAGCTGTGAAAAAAATGTACAAACAATCTGCCAACCCTGCAGCCAGGTGTCCTGCTTGTTTGAGCAAGAGCTGCTTTCTCTTTTTACTGAGGTCTCTGTTTATTGACTCAAGTAGAAGTGAGTAGGATGGTAAAGCTGTTGCAGATCTGCTGTAAAGACAAGCTGGTAGCTGTAGTACTTCTTGGCAGATTTCCTCAGCCATGAGAGAACATGGTGAGGAGGTGCAGGAGAGTGTAGAGTTGTTTTAACTGGAATATTCACTTGTAATTGTTCTCCCAGGCTTTATGTTGTGCATCCAAAAAAACTATTCCATTAAATGATGGCAGACTATTCAGCTGGACAGATGAGGCTTAATATAGCCAAATTAATGTACTTCCCAAGTGCACTTGACTTGCTGTGCTTTCTGCTACATCACTTATTGTGGCTTGTGATGTTGGCAGACCTCTGCATGGCACTATTCACTCAGCTTTATTCATTTCTCAGATTACCCGTGTACTAGTTCTTAACTAACTTAAACAAGCAGTTTGGGAATATGTGGTTTGCAGGAGGGTGAGAAACAGAAGAGGGAAAGGAGGAGACTTTTTATGATGCTGTGAGACATTTTCCTGCTTACTCATGCTTTCAGACTGTTGTGGTAAATTATTGTGATTCTCTATGTAGTCTTGTAAAGCAATCAAAAGAATATTTTAAAAATAATCATCTTGCCGTGTGATAACATACAACAGAGGACAGAGCTATTAGTAATATTTTTAGTGGTGGTGTCACTGAGGGTATATCTGGTCTTTGTTTCTGTGGCACTGGTGAGCCCAGCTGAGGGTGAGAGTTTTCAGCTGTGTTCTGGTCTTGAAAGAAAGAAATATCCATTTTTCATCTTTTGCCTTGTGGATATTTAGTCTTTGGGAGGCAGATGTGTGGAGCCCAAGGGAACAAGTTAGAGTTATCACAGGGTTATCTTTATTCCTTTCCTATTTGCTGCATTGCTTGAAATTTTAGGACACTCCATGTATTTTTCTTTCCTTTTTTCCTTCCTATCCCATTTCTCAGGTTGATTTTGCCCCCAATAGTTGCATTTTTACTGTATTTGAAGTTACTGGGTCGCACGTGGTAATTTTGAGCCACCAGTTTGCCCAGTTACATTAAGTAGGAAAAAGTAATAACTGCTTCCTGAGCGGAGGTGGAGCGTTGTCACCTCCCTTCTGACACTGCAAGGGTGTGCCAAGAGCTCCATGTTTGAGCAGCAGTGCTCCTGCATGAGGCTGGCACTGGTGGCTGTTGCTGCTTGGTGGGCAGGCAGCTCTGGAGTGAGCTGTGGACTGATCCCGGTGCAGTGCTCCTCACAAACCCCCTGGAGCAGCTGAGGAGGTGTTCTGCTCATCGGGTCTCCCAGGAGGCTCTTCTGTATGCCCCTTGCATCCCTTGCTTCACTTGAGCCCATCTGCTCAGACTGGCTTTCCTCCCATACCCCTCAGGCTGTGCTTTTGGAAGTGGAACAATCTGCTTTCAACATCCATCTCTGGGGCTGGGTTTCTAAACTGGCACAGCCTTTCAAATACAGAAGTTATAAGGGCTGTGCCCAGAGGCCAGTATGTAAGATAATGCATCTTGAATAAGCAGAGCTGGAAATTCCACTTCTAACTTTTCCAACCATTGCTGACACTTCTAAACTACAAAATGTTCTATTTCTCTATTTGGCTTTCTCATTATTTGTGTTTCTAGACAGCTTTAAATAACTGAATTTTATAGAATGCTATAAACCCATTTAGTTTAGACTTTTTTTATTATTATTGGAATATAATTTGTAGATCTCATATTTTCCAGCTCTAGTTATGTTTGACATGGAAGGTGCTGAACTGCTCTTGCAAAAGAGCTTATTCTCACTGTCTCAGTGGACAATATGTATGTATAGTTTCCCTTTTCTCATGTGGGCTTTCCAGTGTCTTCCATTTAAATCCCAAAGAGTATGCAAGATAGCTTTTGATACTGTTAAGTAACAGCTCCTCTAGTTGAACAAAAGTTTTTTCAAGCTTTACTAATTAAAATTCAGAGAATCTAAATTTTCATGAGGTTAAAATGACTGGAGATAAAGATTAATGCTTTGGGCTTGTTTCTCACAAATAATTATTTTTATTCCTCCTTTTTCCTTTTAATTTTTTACAGGTATCTGGAAGATGAAACCCTGGCTGCAGCTGATGTTCTTCCCATGTGTTTTCCTGATCTGGCACACAGAAGCAGAGTTCTTTACCTCCATAGGTGTGTAAAGAACCAGTGCATGATGTTGTGATGTGGTTATTGTGATTGCTAGCACTGTTTAAGTTATCATCTGAAGCATATGGTTTTCTTTGTGGGCCCTGGCCAACACTGTCTCTATTAGGAAAAGCTGCTCTTCTGCAGCATCAGTGCAGTTTGTTTGCAGTTGGTTGACTTGGAACACTGACCAACACGATTCAAATTTCTCTGGGGCCTCTGTCAGTTAAATAAGATGGGCTCTGTGTCCTAGTAGGATTTGTGCATCTGTTGTCATCTTGAACAGAGCACACCACCTTATGCTAGAAAGCTTAGTCCTGAATTTGACTTATGAAAATAGTTTAAGTGGTAAATATGTGAAGATTTTTTTTTCCTCAGCACTCAAAATCTCCTGTCTTATCAAAATGTTGAAGTTAGGTGTCAGAAGAAAAAATCAGTAACTCCCTTAAGTTGTGTGTCTTGCTAGGCCTGAGTAAATCCTGAGGAATTTGCATTGTAATAAATCTGTAAAATAATTAGATTTTTATGACAATTTAGTTCCTGTGTTCTAATAGGATCCAACTGTGTATGATTGTGGTAGAGCCTCAAATAAGCACAAACTGAGTTTTCTGCTGTTAATTGGTCTAACATTTTCCTGTCGAGCAGTTTGGGGACTTCCCCTCCATGAGGGCATTAGAGGCTGATTAACTGCCACTGGCTGTTCTCCAGAATGTCCTTTGAGTCAGTGGAGCTGTTTCTGAATGGCAAAGCCCAGAGCTCCTGGTGGGTTGTTCTGCACCACTGTGTGGAACTGCTCAGCCAGAGTCCTCCTGCCAAGCTCCTCACGTGCCCTGTGGCTGACTGAACAACATTTAAGTACATGTGTTTTATTTGCTTGTGATTTTCCTAAGTTAAGTAGCATTTTATACAAAGCTTCCACGAGGGATCACTTTCTCTTTACACTTACCTGTTTCTGAACCTTTGCTAACTGAAAATAGCACATCCTGCTGCCTTCTATCTGCTTAATCATGCCTCAATCATAATTACTTTGGAATGCTGGAGCTGTGGTTGCATTTATGAGTCTAATAATGTTCTTTCAGTTTGGGCTCTGAAAAGCCAAGTTTGTCATAGCAATTAGGACTAATATGTTAGCAATTTCCACTAATGCTAATCAGGAGTGTGTGTCTGTGAGTCTATGAACATTAGTCTGAAATTCCTCTCTGTGTAATGTTAGGCTGTTTCCATGGTTACCCATATTGTAAAGCTGTAACTTTAAATTATGTTGGTGATTACACTAGTAATTTGTTAGTGTGACCTAATCTGTGTCCATATGTAGAACAGATGCTTTGGCAACCATTTGGATCTTTTGATGCTCTGTCTCCATAGCTGTATGAGTGTCAAACCTTTCTTTTAATTGTCTTGCTTGCACTTGTAATACTGAAAGTAATTCAGAGGCAGAGGAAGGGTCAGAGCAAAGCTACCTGAACTGTTGAAACTGGGACTTTAAAAGCCCCTTGAAGCATTTGAATGCCAGACCTCTGTGTCTAATAGCTTTTGTGGTTTACAGGCATTGAAGTGCACACCCTGAATTTGTCTGTTGTTTGTGTTGGCTTTAATAGCTCTGGAGCATTTAAGATTTGTCTTCTGTGCACTTGGGAATTGTTGCTGTTTTAGTACTGATGAATATTTGCTCCTCCTCTTTTTAGGTCAAATGACAGACCTGATATATGCGGAGAAGGACTTGGTACAGTCTTTACAGGAATATATCCGAGCAGAAGAGAAAAAGCTCTCTCAGATTAAAAGGTAGGGGAGATTTGTGTAATGAAGGGTGACAAAATGGCTCATTTGTTCCATCACACTTTGTCACCGCTCTCTGATGCTAAATCTTGTTGGTATTTCTTCAGTAGATAGTCACAGGGACAGGATAGGTACTAACTTGGTTTAATTTATTCCCATTAACCTACAAGTGTCCCTTCTTCAGGTATCACTTAGGATTTGCTTCTTGAGAAATGGTGCTCAGGTGGGCTCTCCCTGCTTTTCCCTGTCCTTGTACCTCACAGGACTCCTGTAGAGAGGACACATCAGAGTCCTGTCAGGAGTCTTGTCATGAGGGCTGAATGCCTCTGTGTGCCAGTGTTCTGTGCTGCCTGTTGTGTCATGCCATCAGCCCTGCTTACAAGAGCCAAGTGTGCCAATGGCATTCACCAAATCTCTGGGTTCCTTTCTGTGTGGCTTTGCCCTCAGGGACAGTTCTCCTGCCCTGCTCTCTTCAGGTGCCAGCCTGGCTGCAGCACATCTCTGATGTTGTCCCGATTGCTTGGATCACTTGAAAGGCTCTTGCTGACAGCTGACCCTTTGTGTCACGTAGGAAGATTGTTAATTCTCCTCTGGCCAATAGCAATATATACTAGGATGTGGCTGGAGGATAGGCTGCATGAGGTCCAGGTTCAGAAGAGCCAAGTGCCTCTAGAAGGAGTTGTGCTTTCCAAAGGACTTCTGAGCTCAAGGCTGTGTGTGTCAGTCTGCCCTTCCTTTGGTAGTGTAGGATGAGAATAGAGCTATGGATTAGTGGAATGATAGGAATTCTGGTCACATATGCACAAAATGTTCTTTTCTTGAAAAGTTGCCCTTCGGAGGCAAAGCAATATCCTCTTCTAGTATTGGTTAAGAGAATATCTATTCAATCTGTGAATAAACGGGTGGTTTTCAGGCTCATTACAACTGAGATGCATGCCTGCTGAAGTTAGCTTTTAAATACTAAGCAGGGAAATATTTTCCCTTTGAAAGAGACTATTGTAATTTTAAAAACCCCACTTTATTCTTGTGAACTTGAAAGGTTGAAAGGCAGTTTTGACAGTAAAAGCAGCAATAATTTGATCTAGATGTGTAGTTCGAATCACACATCTTGATTTAGGAAGGAAGATGTGCATAATGTCATAAATGCCTGAGAACAATTTATGAATGCACATCTTCCTTCTTAAACCATGTGCACACTTCTCATTCCAGCTGGGCTGAAAAAATGGATATACTGACCAGCAAATCAGCCTCTGACCCAGAAGGGTATCTGGCACACCCTGTGAATGCATACAAGCTTGTGAAGCGTTTGAATACTGACTGGCTGGAATTGGAAAACCTGGTTCTTCAGGATACAACAAATGGTAAGGAGTTACAGGGGATTGCTGTCAGGAGGCAGCCTTGTGTTCCTGGAAAACCACAAGCTTGGCTGTGGTTTAAATATTATTGCCAAGTTTGTTTAAAAAGCAGCTAAGGACTTGACTTGTGTGTACTGATTACCCAAGTGAGTGAAACTTGCAACTGAAACATGTCTTAGTCAAGACTCAGAAACTGTTTTATTTGGGGGGGAAAGGGAGAATGGGACGTGCTTAAAGCTGTGCTGGTAACTGTTGAGTGTTATTGTTCTCTTGTATATGAACTGCTTCATTTGCTTTCCCAGTCTGTTGCTTCTCTTGATGATCACTGTTTTTTGACCATGTAGATTGAGAATAAGACTGAGAATCAAAATGAGTCCCATATTGAACTGGCGGGGATACGAGTATCAGCACTGGAGTTGGCAGATGCTGTAGTCTGTCAAACCAGGATAATATATGGTTGCTATCTCTAAACCTGGCCTTCTAAATCAAATGCTTCCAGTACTAATCCTTGGGTTTGCATCATTTTTTCAAGTGTCTGTCTGAATTTGCTTGCATACCTCTTTTAAGTGGAGGTTTATTTTTACTGGACTCTTGGAAAGTGAGGAAGAGGAGGTTGTGTTTTTCAGGCAGAACACCACATGGTTTCCCTTGCTACTCTGCATATTCTAAAGTTTAGGTACTTGACAGTTTTTTCCAGACAAGGCTTTTATTGCCTTTTGGAATAGTTACCCTAAATGGAAATAAAATACTTAAGTCTATAGAGTATGTCTGTCGCTAATTCTTTTTTTAAAGGCTTCTTTTTCCAATTTGGCTTGCTGTATGATTGGAAATGGTTGGGCTGTTTTCCTTCAGTTGATGGCTCCCTCTTCTGCCCAACCAACCTGCTGTGTAACCCTGATATGTTTACCTAGTGCATTTAATTTTATTTCGGAGTACCACCTGGTTTACTTGTCAGGTTTAATTCTCTCACTGAGTAAGGCCCTGTGCTGGTGAGGGGATCCTGGAGCAGGATCTCTGTCCCTGGAACTGAGACTTGAAAAGCTCTTGTGGCTTTAGAGGTTGGAATACCGACTTGGAGATCATTGACCAGTACTGCAACCTGAAATCAGTTGTCTCTGTGGGTATTGCAGGAGATTTGATGAAAACTGTTAAGTTTTTGTGTCAGAAAGAGACATTACCAATGAAGATCATTAGATGCACATTGTGCATCAGTAATTTTGTGGCACGAGAAAATTGAGTGTAGATATTTATTATTTATTTTTTGTTCATGAGCCATATTTCTTGAAAAGGGACAGAAAACAATGTGTTTATAACTTTTGAGCCTAATAAGAGGCTTTAAATCTGGGTTATTCAAAACTCAATTCTCAAGCTAGTGCAGATGTTTCCTCTTCGGTGTCAATCTTGTACTGGTATTTATTCAAGCTCTGGAAGTAACATCTTTCCCTTTCCCTGCAAAGGCTTTATTGCAAATCTCACAATCCAGCGTCAGTTTTTTCCAACTGAGGAGGATGAGACCGGAGCGGCGAAGGCTCTGATGCGCCTGCAGGACACCTATAAACTGGATCCTGAAACCCTCTCTCGAGGGAACTTGCCAGGTAAGTGCACCAAGGTCTCCTTGGCTTTAACAGGAAGAAAGTGGTAACATCCTCAAACTCTCTCCAAAAGTCCTTTCTAAAATGAGGATTAACTGGTTTTGCCACAGATGTTTCAGAAAATTTTGAAGATATTGAGTGTTTGATTATTAGCTGAGTCCTGATGAATGTTTGTTGCTACTGCTTATGAGACACCTACTGAAACAGGTTATCAGCTACCAGTGTGGTGTTCACAAACTGAAAAGGCTTTGTTGGTGTGTGGGTAAATGAACTGACAAAATGTTTTTAGTCAGAACTATTAATAGCCATTAATAATTAACTGAATTTTAAGTCTTACTTGTGCATCTTCTGAGCTGGAGCAATTGGAAGTCAGTGCAGTCACACTCAACTGGACACCCAGTTTGTTTAAATCAACATCAGCTTGCTCATGCACAAATACAGATTTACAGTGAAGACAAACAAGCTGGCTGTGCACGTTGTCAGCATGTAGTCAGGCTTCTCTGATCATCTAACAGTGCTAATCTGTAGGTTACGTGAAATCTGTTATGATGCTAGTCTGCTCTTCCTTTCTCTACAGCAGAAAACACAACAACTTACCACTGCAACTTCTGCTAACTTCTCTTTGTTTCCAGAGGAATGAATTAGAATAAAATTAAGGTAGTTTACTCTTTAATTGTGGTAGTGACCACTTTAGTACTGAATTTAAAATATTGTCAAAGCATTGTTTCTTAGAAATATTTTTGGATGATATAAGTGTGTATTTACAGATACTTCTCAATGTGTCCCGTGTATTTAAGGCAAAGGTGCTTGTGTGGATTGCTGAAAGCTGTCTTTTTGTTTTAGGAACAAAATACAGATCCTTCCTGACAGTTGGTGACTGCTTTGGCATGGGGAAGACAGCCTACAATGACGGGGACTATTACCACACTGTGCTCTGGATGGAGCAGGCCTTAAAACAGCACGATGAGGGGGAGGATACAACAGTCAGCAAAGTAGAGATCCTAGATTATCTCAGCTATGCTGTTTTCCAGTTTGGGGATTTGCACAGAGCCATGGAGCTCACCAGGCGGCTGATATCCCTCGGTAAGAGCAAAGACCATGTTACTTTAGCTGGGAAGTGCTGCCAGCAGCAGAGCTGAGAGCAGTTGTGGCCATCCACATTGGTGAGCTGACTGGAAAAGATATTCTGACAGATGACTTAAAATAAATGTGGGTCCTGGAAACAAGTCTGTTTATACATGAAGTATCTTTAAGAAGCTGTCTTATGGTCCATGCTGTTGTTACCCAAGGCCCCGGTGTGTCTGACTGCACTCACTGCCTGTGTGTTTTGCTGGAGTGCACTGAGATACTGTGTTTGGCAGTGGTTAAAGCCTTGCTTGTCTCAATTGGAGATCAAGGCTACCACAGACGTAGGCAGTGCTGGACCTTCTGTCAGGTCCTACTGACTCTACATATACCTCTTTGTTCCTCAGTGCAGGTACTCATAGATGCTGGAATACTTTGCTTGAGATGTTACAGTATTTATTTCTGAATATTCAGAACAAACTGAGTTTCTTAGAATCTCCTTTTATTTCTGAACTGTTTTTACTTTTCCCTTGTTTAGATATTAGCAGCATCCTGAGAGTGGGTGAAACCTTCCTATTGAAAAATATTTATTAATCTAATTTCCGCAGAACTAGAATTCTGAAATTAAAATTTACAAGATTATGAATATGCATTGAATCTAGCTCTAGGGGTTTAGCACTGATAGCAGAATGTAAATCCTTATCAGCAGCAAACAGTGGAACACAGTTGGCAGTCCCTTCTGAAAGCAGCAGCTTCCTCTGCTCTGGGCTCAACTTCCCTATCTGGCCACTATTACCCTGTGCTCTAATGAGTGGTGACTGGAGTGAGCTTTTGGGCTGGTTCCATGAGATAAACACAGTAAAGCTGGGAAGGCCAGAAGGGAAAGAAACTGTTGTAGGTAGTTGCATCCAGAAACATAGATGTACAAGGAATTGTTAGTTATCTGGGGTGAGGTTAGTCTATTGATGATGATTGTTGATTCTTACCATCATCATTAATAAATCACTAGTATGTCCAAAGATGCTAGTGATCCACGCTCCCTCCCATATAACTCTGTTAGAGCTACAGATGGATGCTGTAGGTGGGCTCAGAGCTTCCCAACCTGAGAGGAGTCTTGGGACTGAAGACTGTGGCTGGACTCCACCACAGTGCTTGGTTAAAGTGTGCTTGTGCAGTGTGGGTGGGGAGCATGGTGACAGGAGTGGTACGGCAAGTGGGCTACCTTCATCTCTGGTGATCTGCTCATCTTGGGTAGAACTGGTCAGAAAAGAGAAAAGGAGGAATGTGAAGAACAAAAACTTGTATTCTTTTTTTTTTGGAATACAAGTTTTATAATGGGTTTTTCCAGAAAGGATTCTTTTGTATCCTTAGTGCAGCTCTTGTTTGCAAAGACAGAAGCTTCCCAGTGTGGATTTTCGGTGCAGACTGAAGCCAGTGCTTTTGTTCACCTGATAATGCTTTAGGAAAGGAAGAATTGGTGCTGTCTTCATACATGGACTTGTTTGTACAAGCAGTTCCTGAGTTTGCAAAAATCTGTTTTTCTGCCAATGTAGATAGCACTCATGAGAGAGCAGGCAGTAATCTGCGATACTTTGAGAAGCTGCTGGAGAAGGAAAGAGAGGAGAAGGAAAAAGAAAATTCAGTAAACAAGACTGTGACAACCACAGAAGCTGTGGTGCAAAGTGGAGCCTATGAGAGGCCTCTTGACTACCTGCCAGAGCGTGATATCTATGAGGCCCTTTGCCGAGGTGAAGGGGTGAAAATGGTAAGAGACAAGAATTTCCTGACTATGCTGCCTTTGCATAAGGATGGTCAAGTTTGGTGGGACATGTTGTTTTTCCTTCAGTGAAGCTCTTTTTTAAAGAAAAATTTAAGTTTGGTTCTGTCCAGGCTTGTATCTTATATCTTGGGTTCTCAATCTTTAGCTGTTACACACAAACAACTCTTAGCTGTACCTCTTAAGGGTTGTTGAAAATTGATTCTCCTCAGTTTTTTCAAAGTCTGCTGTACAGATACAAAAGGAGGCTTTTCCCCCTGAGAGCTCATTATGCTTTACCACACTCAAGGAATCGCGTTTTTCCTTCCCTTTTGCATCTTAGACGTGTTCTTCTGGAGTGACTATTTTGACCAAGTGATTTCCAGTACCTCTCACCAAACATGGCTTCAATTCTTAGTCCAGGGAAAAGAACCAATTTATTTCATCTGTATAGTCTTAATTATGAAAACCAGACTTTTTTTTTACAGCTCACTGCTTGTGTAGTTATTAATCTGTAACCTATTATGTTTTAATTCCCTTAAAGGTTAGTGTTTCAGATGCTGCTCAGTGGTATTTGGAGTGGGATACCTTGTTTTTAATTGCAGTGAATTGGAGAATCACTCTTGTTTACCTCTTGTGTCTTCTGGTCACCTGACAGCTTTTACAATCTGTGTGGAATGAAGCTCATCTTCTTGTCTTACCTGTTTGAAGTTCAAGAAAAGTGTTTGAGCAAACAATGCTTTGTTTGGCATTTTGTTTCAGACACCTCGAAGACAAAAAAGGCTGTTTTGTAGGTACCATGATGGAAACAGAAACCCTCATCTGCTCATAGCTCCCTTTAAAGAAGAAGATGAATGGGACAGTCCTCATATTGTGAGATACTATGATGTCATGTCTGATGAAGAAATTGAGAAAATTAAACAACTGGCTAAGCCAAGGGTAAGTTTTCCTTTTTACCATCTCACTAGTGACTGCTAATTCCATGCCTCAGTCTCTGTTAGCAAGGACTAAGCAAAGGATTTGAAAGACTGGTTTCATACTACAGATGATACACTGCAGCTGTGAGCCTAAATGGAATGATTTTGAAACTGCCTGGTGATGTAGGACCATAAAGCCCAGGCTCCCAAAGGTATTTATGCATTGTTGCACTTAATTATGCAAACTTCTCAGTAAATGGCTTAGAAAGCTTTAAGAAATTAGAGACTAGACTTGAAAAGATAAATGGCTGAATTAAAATGATAGGAGTAGGTGTGCAATGTCTTGAGTCTGCCTTTTGAACTGGAGCCAAACTTAAATGAAATTTAAAAACCCCAAATCTCAAGAGAATGTAAGTTGTGTTAGAATAATACCTAGAGATTTGGGTTTGTTTTGGTTTTGATTTTTTTTTTGTTTGTTTGTGTATCCTTGAATCCACTGCTTCTGTTCTAAACCATAGATGTTTCTTGTTACTCAAGATGAGTTCTGGTGACTGCACACAATAAAAAAAGCAGCTACCTCATGCAAAGCTAGTAATTTGTTTTTTCTGGAGGTGGAATTTTCTGCCTGTCACCTTTCTGGCAAAAAATAGTATGACACTGTGATAGTAGTATACACCCCCTTAGTTTTTCTGTCAGGTCTGAGCAGAATGTAAAACTGAACAAATCTTTGCTTATGGAGGAGTGGTTCATTTCAGCACTCTTCAGGCTACCACTATGAAATATGGTACTAAAATTCAAGTGAAGACTTACCCTTCTATAAGTATTTCTAAATGTAAACCTAAATAGTCAAAAACAGATTGAGAAACTGATGTTTCCCAAGATCATTAATAATTTGGGATGTTTGTGAAGCTGGTCTTCTATGACTACCAGCCAGCTAGGGAAGTGTTGGCTGAACACTCCTGTCTCAGTGAGGAATCTCACCTCCTTAAATGGAGAATTTTTCCTATTACATCATAGTAGAAAACTTCAAGAGCTTCAGATAAAATGGAAGTATTCACATAGAGCATATCACTTAATCTATTTTATCAAATAAAGCACTGTCTAAAGACAGCTTTTTTAAAAATCTTTTTTATTCAAAGTTTTATGGAAAGTCTTAATGCTTGGTCTCTGAATTTTGCATATATTACTAATGTTAGAGGAATTTTTCATGTAATCTGTGTAGTGTAGAACTGCAGTCAGTCCCTAGAAGAGTAGGTAAATATTAAAGCCTTAAGATTCAGATGAAAATGGTCAATTTTAAAAAAGCAACCATTTTCTTATGAGTTGTCTTTTCTAAACCTATGTATAGCTCAGCTGCAGGAATAACTTTAAATTCTGCAGTATTACTGAAAAACTAGAAAATGCAAGTCCTGTGGTGAGATGGTCTTTAATAAATACAGCTTAATTTTAGCCTGGAAATTTTATTAGGAATCATGGAAGCTTTCAGACAGAACTGTGAAGTGTTATTTTATTTTAGGCTCAGAAAGGTGACCACTTTGTTTATTCTAAAATGCATTTGCAAGAAAATTTTACTTTTGAGTCCAAGTACTTAAATATTATCTGCAGTTTACACTTGCCAATACTTTCTGTGGAGAAAGAACATCTGTATGTGATTGGGAGTAGCTGCACTTGAGTTGCTTTTTATGCTTGTTTTGCAAAATGCAATCACTATTATTCCACTTGCAAAAAGTAGATCGAGCTTTCAGGCAATTCATCAGAACGGGCTGGGGAGGGTCAAGAAAGTTCTTAGTTTTGTTGGTGTGGATGGCATTGAGGCAGGTTCTGTCATCATAGTCTGGGAAACATATTCCCAGAATTCTTAATGTTACCTGCAAGCCAGGAATGTCTGAACAGGCAAGACTATGACATGAAGTGGGGAGGTATGAATATCTGAGCTCATGCAACAGGGTTTCAGCTGTGCAGAATTTCAGAAGGAAATAACAATGGAGAGCTTGCTAAACTACACAGACTCTGAAACAGTCAGTGAAGCTTCTGACCAATGAAGGGTGTTAGGGTTTTTGAAAGCAAATGCCTCTTACAAGGCTGATTTCTCCACCCTGAGAGAGGAAGCTTCACATTTATCAGTTGCTTATATCAACTGAGATGTAGATTGTGTGTCTTAAATGAAGAAACCTGCCTATCAGAGCAGATGGGAAATAATATCAAAGCAGTCAGGCTTATTTGAGTTCTGATTTATTTAGATGATATGCTAGGTGTAGAAATCAAGCAAGCATATACAAGCTTGAAAATGGCAGCAGAATGAAAAGGCTGGAAAGCAAAATATATATCCCCAAAGCTATGCTTCACTGTACCAGTGAAGAACAACATTCAGTCAGCCTGGCTCTTCTGTTATAATTTATACAGGCGAAATCTGGAACAAAATAACAGTGAGTCAGAATTACAGCAACAGCTGTGCCAAGAACTCTTGTATAGGGACAAGACAGCTGACATGGAGTGTAAAACTGGCTGGAGACTTACTGGAGGAAAAATGAAGGAAATAATGACTGCATTCTCTGAAGAAGATGCAAATAAAAAGGCCTTCTATGACCTATAATTAAGTGAAAGAAAAGAGGTATGATTTAGAGTGTGTGTGGTTGGCAGGAGTTAAATTTAAATGTGGTCTGAGTTTACAGTCAAAGAAAAGAGTGTCCCAGTTCTTGTTCTCAGCTGCAAGAATGAAACCAACGTGAGCTGGTGTATTGTTAGCAGTCATCTGTCACTCTGACACTGCAGCAAACTATCAGTTTTGCCAAGTTCCATTTTTTTTCCCTACAGATCTGGTCATATGGCCTAAATGTGATGATACTCAATGTTTAAAATGTCTAGGTGTGCTGTGTTTTTGCAGAGTTGCCTTCATCAAAACTAGATGTTCCAGGCATCTTTCAGCTGGAAAACTTGAGCATGGAAATGTTGAGAGTTGTCTTTGGGAGTTTTCTGCAGCTGGGGATTTTCTTGTCCCATAGTTTCTAACTTGTTCTGTAAAAGTTTTTACTTGTTACTTTACATCTGAGAATGAGGTTGGGTTTTCAGTCCACATCCAATGATTTTCTCTTTGCCAGGAACTTGAACTTCATATGTTGTTAACTTTTGTTGTTATTCCCTCTTGCTAATATTGACTCCAGCTGTTCGAAAAAAGCAAGCAACTAATAGATTTAATCAATATCATGGCTTGTGCAGTCCATCAGAATCTTTTTCCAGGATCAAATGCAGGTGATGGATTGTACTTGTGTTTCTGCATGTGTGGTTTTAGCATGAAATCAGATCATATTCTAGGTTGCAGCTCTTTCATTCAGTGGGTTGCTGAAGTTGGACAAATCAGGTGTTGCTTTTGTAAGATGTGAGAAATTTTCTATCCTGTAGCTGATGTGTTTCTTCCCCCTTGGGATTTTTTTTGGCACAGCTGGCACGAGCCACAGTACGTGATCCCAAAACCGGTGTCCTTACAGTGGCTAGCTACAGAGTATCCAAGAGGTAAGCAGAGGGAAGGGCTGAGCTTAAAGGTTTTTGTGTTTAACAGCTGCTGTTTGCTACCTGCTATGTCCAAAAACCTGAACTGCTTTGCATGTAACCAAAGCTTTCCCAACAAATGCATGGGAAATGGCTCTTCTAGCCATTTGACAAAGGGCAGAAGAATCCTTCTGACATGGGAAGTGTGATGTGGTGATTGGCATTGTAAAATAATGCATTGCTGTCCTTCCCTTAGCTCGTGGTTGGAGGAAGATGATGATCCTGTTGTGGCTAAGGTGAATCAGCGAATGCAGCACATCACAGGGTTAACAGTGAAAACAGCTGAGCTCTTGCAGGTTGGTGCACTGGCTTCATCCTGGTGGAATTAGCTGCTGGTTAGGTGCAGACAGATATTTTCCCTGTGTATGCCAGGCAGAGAAGGGTGGAGATACCAAAGCAGGATAAGATAAATTCATGCAGGAATCTGATATTTTCCAGTTTGTTCTGAGGGAAATGCCTGCTGCTTATTTTTCAAGTCTGCAAAAGCTTATTCTCTGTCCTAGTTCAATGTTTCTAAGACCCAAGTATTTTTTGCTATAGTCTCATATGAATTCTTATCTTTGGATGGCTGTTGGGAAGAAGATTGCCAGTAGTACAACACTGCCAGAATAGCTGTATGTTAGTCTGTTCACTGTTTCTCTTCTTCCCTGCTCCTTGAATTCGTGTTTCAGAGTTTGATAGAAATACTCTTGATTACAGGCTATCCATAGAAACCAGGTAATTGTGTAGTGATCTGGGAGGCACATTAAGTACAGCCTCAGAGTAACTAAAGTATGTTATGTGACTGTAAAGTAAGTGAAGAGGTACTTTTAAGTTAATTTTCTGTGAAACTGAAGAGGCATTAGTGTGTAGCAGATCATACATGAGTGGCCCATAGTCCAGTTCTGTCCCCTAGGCTGAACTCACAGGGAGTTGCACACTTTAATCTGCCTTTCCTTCAGAGGAAGGAAGCAAGAATGTGGTGAAACTATTGCTGCTGAATGTTAAGCAGGCTGTTGTAGTGATAAGTACAAATCCTCAAACTACAAAAGGGAAAAAGCACTCAAGTTGTTTCTCATCTGTGTACCTCAGTTCCGGCAATCTAAAAATAAATCAAGTGTACTGTAGATAATCATCTTGCCACAAAGTGCTGTTTCTCAGAGCATGCTTTGGGTTTCTGAGAGCAAGTGCTATTCTGCAGCAGTCACTTGCAGTTCAATACATATTTATGTGCTTCCTTCTTCCATGCTGTAGGTTGCCAACTATGGAATGGGAGGGCAGTACGAGCCACACTTTGATTTTTCTAGGGTAAGATCACACTTGCAATTATTTCTTAGTGGGGTGGGGAGGAGGGAACAGTTTGGTCTGAGAGAACTTTCGAAGGTGTTTTCTGTTAGAGCATTTAATATGTAGCTCTGTTGCATGGATGGATTATGAACTCTGAAAAGCCTTTGCACTGCCTTCTCTGATGCTGAAAGTTCAAGAGGATTATGAACAAATCTCCCTGCTTGGGACCTTGATTCCTTACACAGTACAGAGACACTAAGAGTCATGCAGCACTTGAATGTGCTCTTTGCATTGTTTTATTTGTAAACTGAGGTCTGCAAGCCCTGGGTTATGAGTCTGCCTTGTTCCATTAGGCTTCTGAGTTCAGCGATGTTGCCCAAACCCTGCTTTGCTGGGTGCTTTAAAGCATTTTGCAGGAGCTGACTGCAGCGGTCTCCTTCCACCTTCCTCCTGAAAAGTAAACATTATGGGAATCCTCGTGGGTTGTACAGCCCTTCTGGCAGACCCCTGAGAGTGGCTGCAGCACTGGGGTCTGAAAAGAGCTCCCTGGCTTGGTTTTGAGGCCAGTGCTCCAGCACAGGTTGCATGTACAGGTGATAGTGCTGGGTCTTCATGAGGCACTAGAGGGCTCTGCCTGGCAAAGAACAGCTCTGGTTTGCTGTGGGAGAAAAGAAGAGCAGATTCTTAATAATGATCCTCAGCAAGTTCATGGATGTGCTAAGCATAATGAAGAGCTGTGGTGACTGGTAACTTCAAATATAAAATCCATTTGATGCCTTGGTTTCTGTGGTATTTCAGTGGGATCTGGCATAATTCAGATTGTCCCAGTGGTTTTACCTGGTAGGAGGGATTGCCGCAGCCAGAGTATACAACCCAATAATTGAGAGCAGAATTGAAGCCTCCCAACTTAGCACTGTCTAAAAAATAAAAAAAATCTGAGTTTTAACACTATGGAAGCTTGTATTCATTAGCTTTGGCCCATTCTGAGAATTTTCCTCTTAACTTCAAGTCTGCTTAGTTTCCTGAGTTGGGCAAGTGTTCTTAAATTCTCTTCAAAGCCTTTGAACTCAAGGACCTCAGGCATCAAATTGGCCGCTCTGGACTTTACTTTTGGATTAGGAGCTGGAGTAGAGCTCTGCTTGGAACATAACCTTGGCTGCATTTGTCAGCTGAGGCAAGGCACTTGCAGAGGTTGCCACAGTTCCAGTCTGGTCCTGCAGGCTCTCTGTGGATCACAGACTTTGTGTTAAAATGAAGGTGCTGCTATGTCTCTGCAGCTTCTGATCAGCCTTGAAGCTTTTTATTCCCTTGCAGTTCTCAAACAGAGTTGCACATTATTGGAGATTTTATTGGTTGTTCAAGTTAGATTTTTGCAGTTGAAGTTCAGAAATTTGTGGTTAGATTTGGGTTTCACAGCAGTGGCAGTAACCAGGGAATTCTCTGTATCTCAGTGTTCTTATGTTGGCTTTTTTGGATTGGATTTACATATGCAAGTCTTGGGGTTTTTTATGAACACATTTCAGGAAAGACCACTTGTTTATTAAAATATGCTTCAAGCAGATTGAACTACAGCATCTTAGACACGGTCACTGTGGATTTCCCTGCTGTTTGTCTTTTTCAATACTGATTTACTGTTTTCTTTAAATGTTGAACATTACTGCTTTTGTGTGTAAAAATGTGGCTTGATGTCTCCTGGCTGGAATGACTTCCTGACTATTACCAATGTAAATAAATTTCTAATTTCATTTTTTTCAAGGAAAGACACTGGTATTCTGTATTTTCTTTCTGCTTCTACACTGGCACCAGTGTGATCTCAACTTCAACAAATGAAACTCAGTGTTTTTTACACACTAAAGACAATTTGATCTTTTTGATGTGGTCTTTAGTCCTAGACAGGCAACCACCTGAAACTACTCTACAGTTTTGTCTGCTGTCAAAACATGCATTTGCTCTTCTCATTGCAGTATTTGAGTTGTTACATTTACAAGACTGTTATCTAAAGCCTACTCAAGATTAATTTTTTGTATTCATGTCAGTTGTTGACTTTGGATCAGTGCCCAGAACAATAATGGCCTGTTGTTGACCTTACTTGGATAACATCTGTGCCACAGGCCCTGAAAGCATTGCTTCTATTCTCCCTCCAGAATTGTTCAGTGCAACTTCTCGACGCATCCGAGTGCCCTGTGCATGCAGCTGTTCACCCTGGCTGCAACTTGTGATGGCTTTAACACTGCCCTGTATCACTTGTCCCCTTTCTATTCCAACTCTAAATTGGGCTTGAGGATCTCTGCAGAGCTGCACGTAGGTAGCTCTGGTGAGAGCCTGTTTGGAACCCGGGTTAAAGTTGTTGTCTGTTGCAGCGACCCTTTGACAGCACACTCAAATCGGAAGGAAATAGGCTAGCGACGTTTCTTAACTATGTAAGTACCTCTGTCTGTCTGCTGTCTGGGAGCTCGAAATGTGCAGTTACTCTCATTTAATTTTATAGAAAGATGAGCCAGATGCTTTCAAGCGGTTAGGGACTGGAAATCGTGTGGCCACTTTTTTAAACTATGTAAGTATGATGATCCTTTATGCATTGGGTGTAACTTTAGCAGCATCTTTTTACAGCTTGTGCAGTTGGTTATTTGTAGAGATTTCCTGGCATCTGGCAGTAGGGATTTCATTATTCCTGCAAGCATCAGGTGCTGTCCCATCTGAATTGATAGAATTTTGGTGGTATTTAACGTTAGAGCAGAAAATTTTTAATATAGGAGCCCTCTTCTCCTTTCGGTCACTCTGCTGTGGAATCTTTTACTTAAGTGGATTCCGTGGGGGAAAGGAGACTTTGGCTAATTTCTCAGAGGGAGATACGTGGGGTACTCATGTGGTATGCTTTTGGAGAACTTGACTAGCAGCCACTTAATGTGAGACAGTCATATTTTTCCACCACTGCTTGACAGCACGTGATGTTGTGGTCTGTGATCCTGTTCCTCAGCAAAGCCAGAGTTGCTCAGTTGCTCAGCACAGCTGCCACTTCAACAAAGGCAGGCAGAGCTGATAAACTTGGTGCAGCTAGGTTACAAGTGCAGATTTGAAAGATTCATTAGCTGCATGCATTGCACAGCCCACAGACCATGTACACTGGAATCCTAAACAGCTGCCACTGGGAATAATGGCTTTGTTTTCACAGTAGTCTTCTGACACTATTTTGTCTATCAGCCTGTACCTTTAGGATCATCTCATCTTCTGTAATTAAGATTTTAGTGATACAGTTTAAATATCACAGAAATTTAAAATTGTTTGCTGACATCACATTTTGAGAGTGAAATGCAGCTCAAAACAAAACCAGAAACACTTTCAAGTTGATATGGCAGAGAGGGATATAATCTTCAAAACAAGAATTGGAATAAGATGGGTAGCTGTGAAATATTCTGCTGCAAAGATATTTTAGTTCTAAATTGAGCCAACCTTCATTTTGTTTGCTTCTCAGAATTATGGATGAGCTTTGATTTAGAAGGAACAATACACATCTCTGCCAGTTGTACATGGTCAAAGGCACTTTGCCCTTGTTTGTCTAATGTAGAACTCATAACACATCATTCATGTACCACCAGCCTTACTAAAAAGAGTAGTTGTGTGGCTAAGACATGTGTATTAACTTGCAAGGCTGCATGCACACGCTTTCTAGTTGGAAGGGGCAAAAACCTGTGCACCTGTGGTATCTGATGCCCTTTTACTGTACCAAGCAGGAGGACACCAGAGTGGTAATAACATCTGCTTTAAACAGAAATTCAAGTTACAAGGGATTGTGGGGACTTGGGGAGTGTGTTAATAGTAGTTACTAAATTTGGTGGGAGTTGGATCTGACTAATTTGTTTCTTTTAATTAGAATCTGAGCCAGAGCTTACTGAATTGTTCTATTTTTAATGGGAGCATTTCTAGAAACTTTGGGGTTTGAGTCAAGTCTAGAATTTACAATAAATCCATTGTTACTGATGAATACAATAGGGTTAAATTTATTCCATTGTAGAGGGCAAAGCATAAAGATACATGGTTTTGTTTAGTCACATAGCTGTAGCTGTTGGAGCTTGAGCTGCCTAAAGCACTTGAAATTGCTTAAGATGTGCTGTTTCTGTGCTGTTGGTGAACAGCACAGAAACAGCTAAGAGAAAGAAGAAAAGAGAAGCTTTCTAATAGTTTGTGTAGTTTTTGAAGTGGTTGACCAAGATGCATAAACTAAGTTATGAAAATGAGTTCCAAAGGCATGGTTTCAATTTACAAGGAAATACGTGGTTTAACAGACACTTGTTTTCCTAATTGGATCATAAAGTAGAATGAAATTCTTGAACCCAGCTTACTCTGAAGTCCTCTTCTCTTGTTCTAGAGTATTAGCTTATTAACATTGCAGGTACACAACCTCTATTTGAAACAGAGGGTACATAATCTAGGAAATACATATCTAGATATACATAATATGGACAAAAGCCTTCAGCTGAAATAAAATGTTTCAACAGCAGGTACTGCTTCCTCTGCAGTTTGTGCTGGTTGAAATGTACCCTCCTCATCAGTGCTGCTGGTAGAGGTGCAAGTGGAAATATCAGGCCTTGGGATATATTAGTTTGTGGGATTGTATAAAAAACCTTGTAAATGTACAGTTTGTGGACTTTGTTTTCTCAGATGAGTGATGTAGAAGCTGGAGGAGCTACAGTTTTCCCAGATTTTGGGGCAGCAATATGGCCCAAGAAGGTAAAGTCTGTTTATGTGTTTGGGTTTATTCCTTCTCTCTCCACTTGCTGTCTGTCCCTCAGCACAGTCCATGTCAGTCAGCTGATGTGACAAGTGCAGTTCATTGCAGCTGTAGTGATCTGCAGACCAAAGGGCATCTCCCTTTGTTGCTAATGTGTGAAGTGAACAGTTTCTCTGTACAGCTGTTCTTAACAAAGCAGACTTGTGTTCAGTAGAGTTCCTCTGTACTTTGAACATGGCTGTACAGGACTAAGAGCTTTTCATGTGCCATTGATGGTGACCTGTTGAAGTGCTTCCAGCTGCCTGCAGCTGAATCCATGGGCATCCTCCTCCCCTTACTTTAACCTGGTTATGTTGACTAGGTTCTGACTAATCCAGATCTGGTCTCACTTTTCAGGGAACAGCAGTGTTTTGGTACAATCTTTTCAGAAGTGGTGAGGGGGATTACAGAACAAGACATGCAGCTTGTCCAGTACTAGTAGGATGTAAATGGGGTAAGTAATACTTCTTTGGAAATAAATCTTGAAGGAAGGGTCATCAATGTAAAGCTGGGGATACACTGACCTCTTACAAAAGCCTTTAATAACCTGGATACCCCTTCAATTACTGGGGTTATTTGGCCATAATGAAACTTTCTGCCATTGATCTCAAGAAGTATTAAGCAGCTGCATTGTACAGCTATAGTTTTTCTGGTGAGTTTTTGTGTCAATGGCAGCACCAAGTGCAAGACTGTCACTGGGTTTGTGTAATTTATCAGCATCAGAATGACAGGAATTGTCACTTGGCTGGAATCAGGTCTATTCCTACAAAGATCTGCCCATAGTTTGAGCTGCAATGGATGACAGCTTCCTTTAAGGTAAATGGGAGTGTCTGGACATTAGAAATTTCTGCTTCCTGCTGAAAGCTTATCAAGCTTCCTATCATCTATTCCCATAGCTATATCCCCTAGCCTCCAAGGTATGCCCCTGGAGTGCCAGAGCATGCTGACTGTCAGTGATACAAGCCCCAGATACACTGCTCTGTTAGTGCTGGCTCCAGAATTGTGCATTGGGGAAGATCCTTTCTTCCCCAGCCTTCTGCATCTTTCAATGTGTTTCCCCTTGGGTGAGAAGAGAAGTAGAAGCATGGATCCCCACACTGAAAGATTTTACCTAAAGTATCCATCTAGGTTGTGATGATACCCATGCTGGGTACATGGTGATAACTAATTCCAGTTCCCTGTTTCCACAGTTTCAAACAAATGGTTTCATGAAAGAGGAAATGAATTCTTAAGACCTTGTGGGAGAACAGAGGTTGACTGAACTCCAGCCTGCTGCAGATCTTTGTTTCTGTCTCCTTTTCTACTGTTGTTTGTTCCAGTTCATTTCTAAGAAATGATCCATCTTTTTCTCCAAGAGTCCTGGCACTTTACTACAATAGAACAATAAAATATGTAACACCTGTGAAAGAAAGTAAATGGCATTGTACACATTCATGTGTTTGGTTGCAGTTATTTCCACATTTTCCCTGCCTTCCTCCCCACAGTCTTCCTCTGTAGTAGTGGTGCAAACAGTGCTGTGAGCAATTCTGTTTGTTTGGGTGCTTGGTCTTGTGCCTTTTGTACCTCAGATTTTGATGTTAAATATTTCTTTGAACCAAAGTTTTTTTTAAAAAAAAAGTTGTGTACATGTTGATTTTGTTGTATTTCTATGGATCACAAGTTTTAAAGCAAAAATAAATGTTCTTTCCATAAAGTGATTCTCTATTTGGAGTCCTTGATTGGTGCATCAGTGTTTGGTTTTAGGGAACACTGGGCTTTTACTTTTCCTCTGAAGGGCTGTTGCCTTGTTGCCCTTTTCCTGTAGAAATTACATCATAATTTTGGACAGTGTTCAGTCTCAGCACATATGGAAATCAGTAGGATGTTTTGCAAGCAAATCTTAATCTACTTCTGTAGACTGGAGGAGGGTTTTGTCATGCCCTTCAGGGAGGCTGGGAATAATCCTTCCCTGTGATTCTCCTTTGGCCTTTTGCTCTGTTAACATGTGGCCTCAAGCCAAGGACTGGAATGAAGTCCCATTTCTGAATTATTTACAAAGAAATTAGAGTTAATTGCTGAAAAAAAAAAAAAGCAAAAGTTATGGAGAAACAGGCAAATGTTTCAGAAATGTAGGTACTTGGTGTTAGTACCAGGCTCTTGTACCAGTATGTGGCTGTGCAGCTGAATTGACTTTGGAGCCACACCCTGGCTGGCTGTGATCTGAGCCTGACTTCATGGGACCATGGATGCTTGCAGGTGAAGTGAAAGCCAGAACTGGTAATGGTTGTACAGCTATAAGCTAGTTAAAGGGCAATAGTCAATGTACCAATGCATGGAACTGGCTTGAGACAGTGAAAGAAACTTCAATTGCACTGGAACATCCACTCGCAGTCAGTGTTGTCATATGACCAAGGCTGGTTTGATTTGTGCTCCTGCACTGCCCTGTGTGAGGTAAGGTTTAAAACAGGTGTTGGGCAGGGTTAGAAGCAATTCCCCTGCCCTCTTGGGAGAGACTCAGAGTATGGGAGAGTTTTACCTGTTAGATATAATACATGGCATCAATTCCTTCTATCAGTATTAAAGCAGTGTGGCTCAGCAATGCATCTTCATCTGCTCTTGTGCTTTATAGCTAAAGAACTGATGAATTTGAGGATTATTGCTTCATTTAGATGCAGCATGCACCTGTGCTTGCTAAAGATTTTTCTATTAAACATGCACAACTGATTGAAGAAAGAGGACTTGCATTGTCCAGACAGACTTGCTGAGCTCAAGTTGTTAATAATGCTGAAGTGAGACTCTACACTTGTGACTAAGCTTTGTGTGAATACTTAGTGCAGGTAGCTATAGAAACTGCAATATTTTTTCCCTAAAAGCTTTGAAGACCCAGCACAGCAGAGCTTAATAGCTGCTCTCTAATCTCCCAGAGCCCTCCTTTGCTTGCCATGAATTTTGTGGTTGCTGGCTGGCTGTTCCGAATATCTCATTGTTGACCTCCAGTTTTCTTAGTAAAATGTCTCAGCATAACAAACTTGGGAAATAAGGAGGTTTGCTTTATAACAAAGTATTCAATGTATGACAGTCTTGCAGATGTGAAGAAGTGATGATGAGCCAAAGCCACAGTCTCTGGTTGGAGCACTCTGGGTTTCAGGGGAAGGAAGAAGAGCCTACTTAGACTCTGTTGACGTGGCATGTTGACAGATAAAGTTCACATCAGGACGCTGGCCAAAAACTGCACATCCCACTTCTGAAATATCATAGTTGGCTGGGAAATACCATTGTTAACTGTCTCTTATCATACTGAACGTGTAAAGATAATTTTACTTGTTTTCTCTGGGAAAAATCCTATTCTGTCTTCTCAGTTGTCTTTAACCTTGCTCCTGCCTGAAGTAGGAAGCAATGAGTGTGGATGCAGAACTGCTTGAATGCCAAGCTGCTTTTGGTGCTATATGCAGGAGTTGCTTACTGCTGACCTGATCTGAAGAGTAATAGGTAATGAATACCATAATTTGAGAGAAAAGAGCATCTGTAGCTTTTGAGATTCAGTACCTTCCCCAGCATATTTGTGTAGTCTGTCACATTATACTCCCTATTCTGTCTCCTATCATTGTAGAAGATGAACAGCATATGGCAGCTAAATTTATTTATTAAAAGGGATAGTTCTTAGACCTAAAACAAAAAGGTTTCAAATGCTGGAGCAAATCAGCCTTTCTGCATATAGGCACAGGGAGTTCCTGACAGTGTATTACTGATGAGGGAAGTACTTAGTACTCTTGTTGAGACTGCAGTGGTTTTTCTCTTGACATCATGTCTGCTCTTCTTTAATTCACAGGGTTTAAGTACTTAGCACAGACACTGCAGAGGCTGACTCTGGACCAGTGGCTACCAGTCACTTTGAAGTGCTTTGGACCTTTTCTGGTCACATCTGATGGAATTATCTGGAGATGAGGTCTGCAAGGTGCTGCTCTGTATGACAGACACTGGTGAAGACAGACACCATATGAGCTCTTATGGAAAAGTGGTTTCTCATCTTCTGTAGATTTTGTCATAGGAAGAATAACCACCCCCAGCCCATGCCAGTAATCCCCATTCTGGCCTGAATGCTGCTTAGGTGGATATAAACTGTCACTGAGCAGTTGTGCAGCCCTCCAGCTGGGCTGGGAAATGACCCAAAATATTCATGTTCAGCTGAACAGATTCAGTGAACTGCTTATCATTTCTTTAACCTATATTAGAAGTTACTTGTTTTCCTGTTACAGTAGAACAGCATATGAAAACCATCAATCTAATCACCTCAGATGGAAAAAGTGGTGTCCAGGCTCAGATGAGTGGAGGGAGTGGTGGAAGGGTCTGGCTGGGATGGACGGGAAGCTGTGCCAGCCCTGGCAGAGCGCACGGCCAGCAGGGGCACTGCCGGCTCCCGGCTGCGGGGATTCCCCGGGCTGCGCCTTCTGAGACCTGAGGATGGTGTGAAATGATGTAGGAGTGAGCTGGGTGAGCACCAGCATCCCCTTGTGTGATTGCTGATTGTTCAGGACATTGGGCACTCCATCATTCCTTATAGCTTTGGAGGATATTGCTGTCAGTGTCCATATCTGCAAAGGTGATGGAAGATTGATGTATCCCATTGCACATTCAGACCTGATGAGGTCTAATGAACTTTCTAAATTTTCTCTGCTTGGCTGGGCTGGGGTGGAGTGACTCACGACCGAGATTCAGCAATCCTGTGACCACATCCATTTGTAGACCTGGACAAAGTCTCCAAGTGATTCATTGCCTGGAAGAGGAGCTGGCTGATCCTGGCACTTATCCCATCCTCCACAGAAGCTGAGTTGTGTCCATGGAGCTCCTTCCTCTGGCCTGGAGCAATGTGTGGGATTTGGTATGAGAGTCAGCTGCAGGCAGCTGTGAGCATTACCCACCTGCACTCCAGGCGTGCAGCAGCCCCAGTGGCATCACGGAGCCCTCTGTGAAGGGTGCAGCCACTGCTGCTGCACCAGGGCAGGCTGGCAGTGAGAGCTCAGCTCCTCCTGCTACAGCATGGTTTTACTTGTTTGTGCACGGATTTCCTCTGCTTTGTGTAGGTGCAGACAAGTGAAATGTTTCTGACTCAGTGAGGTATGGGAATGTGTGAGCCTTAAAACCATCTGTGGCCTTAGGCTGTCACTTCCTAACAAGTGTTAATTTAGTCATGCTCTCCTCTCTGCTCTCACTTTGCCTCCACATATGTATTTTGGTGGGAGAAACTGCAAAATGTTCACTCAGCCATGCCTGCAGGATGGAGGCACTTGCTGGCTGTGCTGTCCCCAGCCTGCAGGATGTCACCCTGCTAGTATGCAGCCAAGTCTGGCTCTTGCAGGTGTGAGAGATGAGGTAATATTTTACTGCAGCCAAAAGGTTATTAGGTAAAACAAGGAAAGTTGTTGGTTCTATGTGTTGTTATTTGTGGTTTGGATTTGC